GGTCGTGGTGGACTCGCGGGCCAGCGGCAGGGAGCCGCGGCCGCGCCCGGGCAGCAGGCCCACCGGGAGGGCGGGCAGGGCCGTCCCTAGGAAGACTCGCCCCTGGTGGGCCTGCCCCCAGCTAGCCCTGGTGGTAGCCGGCTCCCACACTGACTCAGGACCCCTAGAGCCACACTCTCGTGCCCCCGTCTCCCTCCCGGATGTTTTCCAAGCAGGAATCGGGCCCCGTTGGGTCTGGCTGGCCAATTTGGGGCCCTCCCCTGGGGGGCTCCGGCCAGGGAAACAGATCCGGCGCTGGGGCCCCACCCAGCACGATGGGAGGGCAGTGGTTGGGGCCAGGTTGCCGGAAGGACGCCGTGCTATAACGTCTCTTATCTGCAATTAGCTCGTTTGCCGCAGGTATTCGGGGCGGCATTTTTACCCTCATATTTGCCAGACTGAACATCCGCCTTCGGAACTGTCTCTTCCGCTCACTGCTGTCCCAGGAGACGAGCTTCTTTGACGAGAATCGCACAGGTGGGTCCTCCCAGCACCCACCGTGTCCCAGGGCTGGGCCCGACTACCTCGGCCACATGGAAGGTTCCAGTGGGAACAGGGGTGGTCTCAGCCCCGCCGGCTTGTCCACGGTCAATTTCAGGGTAGACGCACCCCAGCGACGGGCACGGGCCTCTGCGGCCACTCGCTGAGGTCCCGCTGGGGGCTGCGGCCCCTGGAGCGCTCTGGCCAGGCCACCGAGGGAGGGCCCTGCTTCTCACTGCCCATGGAAAGGGAGGACCAGGGCGGGCCAAGCCCACGCCTGCAGTGGCCAGCTCCTCGGGGTGGGAGGGAGCCGGTGGCAGGGTACAGGAGCAGGGGCAGCAGATCAGCACCTTGCCAGGATCCCAGCTCCGAGACAGGCCAGCGGGGTCCAAGCCCTGGTTGTGCTACCCCCTGAGCCCCACTGAGCCCCCACTTCTCATCTGTAAAACAGGGCAGCAGACATGGCTCCCCGGGGCTGTCACGGCGCCTGGGCTGGGCTCCAGCCTTTCTCCTCCCTCTCAGCCCTGACTCTTATTTCTCTGTGAAGGAAGAGGGCAGTCGCCCCCTCTGCCCGTCCCCCGCAGCAGAGCTGGGTTTGAAATCCCGCCCAGTCTCCGACAAGCCGGGTGCACTGAGCAGGCTTCGAACCCCTCCCGAGCCTCAGCCGCCTCCTCTATACAGTGGGAGGCCCTGAAGCCTAAACGAGGTGCTGGAGACCAGGCCGAGGCTGGGAGCCATTCAGAGGCACCCCCAGCCCTCTGTCTCAGAAGCCCTGTAGCGCCCCGCCCCAGCATGGCGGCCCTGGTTGGCCGGGCGGGAGCTGAGCCGCCTGTGTTCCAGGGGACCTCATTTCCCGCCTCACCTCGGACACCACCATGGTCAGCGACCTGGTCTCCCAGAACATCAACATCTTCCTGCGGAACACGGTCAAGGTCACGGGCGTGGTGGTGTTCATGTTCAGCCTCTCGTGGCAGCTGTCCCTGGTCACCTTCATGGGCTTCCCCATCATCATGATGGTGTCCAACATCTACGGCAAGTGCTACAAGGTATGCCTGCATCATGATGGTGTCCAACATCTACGGCAAGTACTACAAGGTACGCCTGCCCCTGCCCGCGGGCACCGGGGGCCTCGGCAGCTCACAGGTGGCCCCTTAGGAGGGGTCGGGGCCGCCTGGGGCCGAGAAGGACTCGTCCGAGGCCGTGTCTGCATGCACTCGTTCGCTCGGGCAAGCTG